GATCCTTCCGCCTCAGCCTTCCCAAGTAGCTGGAACTACAGGCGTGTGCTACCATGCCTGGCTCATTTTGATTTATTGTAGAGATGAGGTCTCACCAGGTTACCCAGGTGGGTCTCGAACCCGCGGTCTCAGGCAGTCCACTCACCTCAGCCTCCCAAAGGTGCAGGATTATGGGCTGAGCCACTGAGCCCGGCTCACATCTAGCTTTTTAATTTTTATTTTTGTAGAGACCGGACCTCACTGTGTTGTCCAGGCTGATCTCGAACTCCTGGTCTCAAGTGATCCTCCTGCCTTGGTCTCCCAAAGTACTGGGATTACAGGTGTGAGCCACTGCATCTAGCCTAACGTGTTTTTTCTTCTTTTTTTTCTTTTAAAGATGTGGGGCACAATTCAGGACAGAGTGTTTTTCTAATGGTAGAAACCTTGGTGGTTACTTCAAGAGTTCTGGGAACACACTGAAATTATATGCTAATTTTGTGGGTGTATTCATTTTTTTTAGGCAAAGAGTTCATGGCTGCTAATCAGAATCTCAAAGAAATGTATGCCCTAAATGGGTTAAGAAAACTGTTCTAGGCAGTTCTTACCAGAGCTAGAGCTGGATTCAAGTACCTGGATCTCTAAATAAAAAAAGAGATGAATACATGTCTTCTTCCAGGAGAAGAATGTATTCCTCAGTAATTTACAGTCGTTCATGGAGTAGATGACTCAGGATTATGTTTGGTCTCCAGTGTTCTGTATCAAAAATCTGATAATGAGAAATGTTAAAAAGTTTTTAAAATTCAATTAAATACTTGTCTTAATATGGCACAATTTATATTGCTAATGGGATATAAATTTGTTAAACCACTTTAGTGCAGTTGGGTATTGTCTGGTCAAGTTGGAAGATGTGTGTATGCGTTGACCCACTCATAGCGGATATATATAGTAGGAGAAACTGTGCATTTGTACATCGGGATACTCATACAAATATTATAGGAAGATTGCTGGAAATAGCCCCAAATTGGAATCAACACAAATGTCCATCAGTTGTAGACTGGAAAAATAAATTGTGTTATATTCATGCAATGGAGTGCTCTACAGCAACGTTATCAAAGAACAATAGCTATAGGAACAACATGAGTGGATCTTACATGGTTTTGAGCAAAAAAATTAAGACTTCAGAGAATAAGTACAGTATTTCTTTCATATAAAGTTTATAAACAACACCGAAAACATACAACATAATAAAACTATAGAGCAAAGTAAAGAAATGAAAGCTGGGAAAGTCAGGATGGCAATCATTTCTAAGTGGGAAAGAGAATTGTGCTTTGAAGTAGACGCATGAGGCATACCAAAATGGAGCACTGTTCTATTTCTTGGAAACATGAATGTTTGCTTTATCACATTCTTCATTAACTATAGATCTGTATTTTACAGACTTTTCTGTATATATGCTATATTTCACAATTAAAATGTTCAGAAATTAAATGAAAACTCTGAAATGCAAGAAGTGAGGCATATGGGCTGACTTTTTTTGTTGTTTTTGTAGGCAAGTGTTGTTGCAATGTTTGTATGATTCAGACCCGCCTACTCTGCTGGAAACAAGCAGGTATGCTTTTCTTTTTTTTATGTATTCTATAAAGTTATTCGAAAGGGAAATTAGGAAAATAGAGTTCATTCTTGACTTTTGAATTTCCTTTGTTGTTTTTGAAAGATGAACATTAAGCTCACATTTATCACATAGGTTGTTGATTACTTGCCTTTCCCAGACAGAAGTGGCCAGTGTCTGGGTTGAAAGGATCCAGGAACATCCAGCTATTTATGATAGCATTTGCTTCATCATGTCCAGTTCAACAAATGGTAAGTCATCATATAATCTAGGAATAATGCTTTAAATTTTATTTGTCAGGAGATCATGTAACTATTTCTATAAGTCACTTTTAAAAAAAATCTAAGTGCACAGTGAGAAAGTTTTTCAATTAAAGATACAAAATTTCTGCCCTTTTTTTGAGTCAGAGTCTCATTCGGTCACCCAAGCTGGAGTGAAGTGGCAGGCTCGTAGCCACTGCAGCATCAACCTGGTGGTCTCAGCCTTTCAAGTAGCTAGAACCACAGGTGCATGCCATCACGCTTGGCTGATTTTTTGATTTGTTGTAGAGATAAGGTCTTGCCAAGTTGCCCAGGCTGGTTTTGAACCCCTAGACTCAGGCAATCCTCCCGCCTCAGTCTCCCAAAGTGCTGGGATTACAAGTGTGAGCCACCATGCCTGGCCTAAAATTTCTTCTTAAACTCCCAAGACATAAATTCTTCATTGAAAAATGAAAGAAGATAAGCAAATGTAAACATAAAAGATAAACAGATCACCCTTGGAATACTGTTATTTTGGCAAGACTTGTCTTTCTTAGGATAGTTTTAAGAATTTTTCTTAACTTGATTGCTTTTGACATTTTGTGTTTCAATATCTTTTATTCTCTGCAGTTGATTTACTGGTGAAGATAGGGGAGGTTGTCGACAAGCTCTTTGATTTGGATGAAAAACTAATGTTGGAATGGATCAGAAATGGGTCTGTCCAACCTCTGGACCAACCCCAGGAAGGTTCTGAAGAGCAGCCCGTGTTTAGGATTGTGCCCTGTATACTCGAAGCTGCCAAACAAGTACGGTAGGTGAGCTCTTTTGTGCAAAATGTTCTGGAAAAATCCAACTGTTAGAAGTATTCTTAGATAGGAGGTCCTCTTAGATTCCTTTTAACAAGAAACAAGATGGAGTATATAGCCAATCTCTGTTAGATGTGATTCGCTACTGATATTTGTGATGGCGATGTATTTGCTCTTTGCAAGAATGATAATGATTACCAAGTTCCTGTTCTATTATCATTTAGCTATAGACTTATTCAGCATTAATTGTGGTTTCTGTCTTAGCATCATAAGACATTTTATGTAATTTAAATCAAAGAGGAAAGATTTTCTTATGCTTTATTTTACATTGAACATTTAACAATTTCTTCAGTTAATATTGGACATCTTTTTTTTTGCCTCTTGTGTATATATATTTCAGTCTTTGATAAGTGACTGATTTTTGTACTGTAATGTCTTACCAAGAGTGAATTACTAGATATTATAGGTCATTAAAACTGCTTATTGCTAATCACTAGAAAATTAATTTTTGAATTGATCTGCTTAGTGATCAGTAGTGCATTATTAGTGCTAAATAAGCCACATTAAAGCCTATTAATTTATGTCCTTTGTCCAAATGGGCATTAAACTCATCATCTTTTCCCCAAACCTGCTTTATCAGTACTCTTGATCTCAGTAAATGATGTAATAATTAGCCCATTTTGATCATGTGAAAGAAACGGAGGGGCCAGTACTGAGTCTTTCCCTCCTCTGTTTTCCCTTGGCCAGTCTATTTCTAGGCCTTGTTTCTGACTTTTTCTGGGATCCCACCCATGCCAACCAGGCCACTTTTTTGGCCTGGAGAACTGCCACATTCTCTTACCTGAGTTCCCTGTCTCTATGCTTGCTCCTTCCTAAGCCCAGAGCGGTCTTTGAAAAGAGCATGCTCATTACCTCAGTCTCATGCTTCAGACTTTTCAATTGCCTCTCTTAGGATAAGATCCAGATTAAACAAACAAACAAACAAACATGGCTTATAAAGCCCTGCACAGTGCCTCTCAATCCTTATTCCTTGTACTCTGTTTCAGCTATGTGAAGTTGCCTCCATTTCTTCAACAAGCTTTTGTATAGGATGTCTCTCCACCTCAGACACTTCTTTGCCCTGTCAGGTTTCTGTGTAAACATCATTTTTCTTAAGCTGCCTTCCGTGACCCTGCAAACTAAGTCTGCTTGCTGTGTGGTCTTATCATCCCTGGAACTCCCTGTAGTGCTGCATTCATACTACTTTGTAATTGTAATTACCCCCTTAACTCTCTTCTTCCCTTGTAGACTGTGAAGCTTATGAAGTTGGGGATAACTTCTACATCTGTTTTCGTAGCCCCTAACATAATAGTGCCTGAGAGTAGTAGGTACTTAAATAAGTGTTTGCTGAACCATTATTTTAACTGTTCACTATCTTCTGACAATTGTTTGGCTGAAGAATTAAGATTGAACATCATTATTGTCGATGCTTGGTGAAGTGGACCTTACTTTCTTACTACAAAATCTTTGTCATTTTCTGTTCTGATTATTCAAGCAAACCAAAACAATGAGGTATCAACTAACAGATTTCTGCATTGTCACTTGTGGGATAATGCCAGAAAGAATTTTTACTTCTTGACCTGTGTGTATTGATTATATTACATGATATTTGTTTGTTTGTTTGCTTTCCCCCCTATTAGACTATAAGCTCTGCCGGGCGCAGTGGCTTACGCCTGTAGTCCCAGCACTTTGGGAGGCAGAGGCGATAGGATTGCCTGAGCCCATGGATTCAAGACCAGTCTGGGCAACATGGTGAGACCTCGTCTCTACAATAAATAAAAAAATTAGCTGGGCATGGTGGCATATGCCTGTAGTTCTAGTTACTTGGGAGGTTGAGGTAGAAGGATCACCTGAGCACAGCAGGTCGAGGTGGCCGTGAGCGTGCCACTGCACTCCAGCCTGGGTGACAGAGACTCTGACTCAAAAAAAGAATATAAGCTCTAATGAGCACAGAGATTTTGTTCTGTTCTGTTTTATCAGCACCTAGGGCAGTGCTGGCATAAAGTAGTAAAGATTTGTTTAATGAATGAGTGTTGCAATCCCCTGGACAGTAAAATTGTTGATTCAGTGCTTTTGCTTTTTCTGTTTAGTTCTGAAAACCCAGAATGGCTCGATGTTTATATGCATATTTTACAGCTGCTTACCACAGTGGATGATGGAATTCAAGCAATTGGTAAGATGGTTTGTTAGAATACACTATAGTTACTCGTTTAATTGTTTGCTATTTTTAAGTTACTACTTTCTTTATCATATTTATTAAGTACATTGTCCTGACACTGGAAAAGACGTTTGGAATTTACTTTTTGACCTGGTCTGCCATGAATTCTGCCAGGCTGGTGATCCACCCATCATACTTCAAGAACAGAAAACAGTGCTAGCCTCTGTGTTTTCAGTGCTGTCTGCCCTGTATGCTTCACGGGCTGAGCAAGAGTATCTCAAGATAGAAAAAGGTAAGTAATTTCAGCTCACTACAGTAAATTCTAGTCTTTCTGATTTTAAAGCCCAGGTTTGTGTTTGTTCTTCATTTGATTTATTTCTCCCTTTTAAAAAATGCTTTTATTTTCCTAACTACAAAAATATTACATGCTGAGTTTTAAAAAATTGTAAAATTTAAAAGGCATAAAGGAGACATAGTGCTTATAATCCATCATCCAGAGGTAATTACTATATTTAAGTCCTGCTTTTTAGCCAGCCCTTTTTATTTAGATGTATAAAATGAATATTTTCCTGTGTGAGCATATTTTCTTTCACAGAATGATTTTTGTGACTACAATTAAATCCGTGATTCATGTAGAATATATTCTGGTGTCACATGTGAGGTATGGCATCACATTTTTTTTCTTTTGATAACTTTGGTACCAGTGGTTTCCTTTTTTTTCCCCAGAGAGCTACCCTGTTGTCTCAACATCATCTAGTGAATAATCCAGCTTACCCACATTGATTTGAAGTTTCATATTTCCTGTATATATTTTATTCAGTTCCATTGCTCTGTTTATGTATAAGTAGCTATAGTGTTTTAAGTATTAAGGTTTTAATACCAGTGACGCTAAACCCCTTTCATTCTAATTTTTCAGAATGTTTTCGACTATTCTTGTTTATCACTGAGTTAGACTGGCAAGTTCTAAAAACAAAAGACCTTTCTGATATTTTAACTTACAATCATGTTAAACATGGAATATCCTATACTATATTTTGCTTTTTCGTTTGTTCAAGTCTTATTTTGTATCCCTCAGTAATGGCTTTCATCATATAGATCTTGCATATTTCTTATTTTAGGTCTGTTCTGAGACATTTTGTCTTTTGGGTTGCTATGGTCTGTGACATATTTCTACCATTGATTATTACTGTTTTTAGTAGTTGTTCTAGTGATAAGCTTATGCTTTATCTGATACTAATTTGGCTTAAATTAGAAATGTGTTATCACTTTTCTATCTCTGATTTATTTTTCTTATCTAATTGGGTTGCCTAGTATCTATGGTATTAAATAATGGTGGTGGTAGAAAATATCCTTACCTTATTCCTGATTTTATTGGGACAATTCTAGAGTTTCATTATTAAGCATTTCAGGGTATGAGATACTTGTTTTACCATTTAAAGAATTATTAATCTGTATTTTATTAAGAGTTTTTAAAAAGTGAATATTGAATATTTTCAAGTATCTTTTCTTCATTTATGAATAGATTACCTTATTGAGAAGGTGACATTGAGTATAAACCTGAGGGAGATAATGGAGGGAGTCATGTGACTACTTGAGGAGAAAAACATTCCAGACAGAGGGAATAACAAGTGTAAGAGGCCTGAACCAGAAGTTGCCTGGTATATTTGGGGAAGAACAGTGAGGCCGTGTATGGTTAGGGTGGATTTAGCAAAGGCAAGAGAAGTAGCACATGGTACCAGAGAGGTAGAGATTGGAGGATTTGATTCTACTTTTTACTCTGAGTGAGACAAAGAACCCTGGTGGGTTTGAAGCAGAGATTGATAGACATGAACTGACTTTCATAGGCTTCCATGTTGATGAGAAATGTAGGGGGCCTGGGTACAAAAGGGAGACTTGTTTGGAGGCTTTTAGAGACATTTAAAAACTGTGTTATAACAAGAGGTGTTATAACTTGGATCACTGTTACCACTAGAGGGGGGTAGAAAAAAATAGTCAGAATCTGATCATTTTTAGGTATTGCCAATAGATTTTGCTGACAAATCAGATGGGGAGGGTGAGAAAAGTCAAGGATCTGTCTGGAGTTTTTGTATAAAGAAGCTGCCATTGACCGAGATGGGGAGATGAGTTTTACACGGTTTGTTTGACATGTGTCCTAGATGTCTGCATGGAGACCTTTGAGTCTGGACCTGAGGAGGAGGCTGAGCTAGAAATACAGATGTTAGAGTTGCCAGGTGTCATGCTATTTATAATTGTAGTTGTTTAGGGTTGCCAGGTGTCATGCTATTTATAACTATAGTTGTTTCTTTTGACTTGATGTGAAATGAGAAGAAAATTAACATCTTTTACCACAAATATGTTTGTCTTTTTCTCTTTTTATTATTTTTAGTTTGCTTAATGTGTTGATAACATGTTTTTTGGTATACAGACATCCATTATAAACTGCCCATCTTTGTGTTTCTTAATGCTTTTTTGGACTAAATCTTGTTTTATAAGATACAAAGATCAAGCCCTCTGTCTTACTTTTTCTAAAAAAGTTTTTAAATAAAAAACTTTTTAAAAATAGATGTAGGGATTACAAGTACAGTTTTGTTACATAGAGACATTGCGTAGTGGTGAAGTCTGGGCTTTTAGTGTATTCATCACCTAGACAGTGGTGTTTTTGTTTTCCTTTTGTTTGCATTTACCATTGATATCTTTGCCTGTCCTTTTCTTTTCAGTTTTTCTAAATGCTTTGTTCTGTGTATTGATTTCTTGTTAATAGGTGAATTAAACTCATTTACATGTACAGATGAGCATCCCTGATCCAAATCTGAAATGTTCCAAAATCCAGAACTTTCTGAACAACATGATGCTGAAAGAAAATACTCCTTGGAGCATTTCAGATTTGGAATTTTCAGATTTGGGATGCTTAGCCAGCATAATACAAATATCCCAAAATTAAAAAAAAATCTGAAATACTTCTGGCCCTCACATTTTGGATAAAGGATACCTCAATGTGTATTGATATGATAGTTGTGTTTGATCTGAATGCTGTCATTTATTTTACATTACATATGTTTGCTTTAAATATTTCACCATGTGGTTTAGTTACTTTGTTTTTTGTGTAATATTGTTGATGAAATGTATTTTTAGTCTGGTGGTTACCTTTATAATTATAACTGCCCCCCAAATTATTATTTTTTAATTCTAAAAATTTAATAACTTGAGAAAGATATGTCTCAGTGCTGCCTATTTCTATTTTTTTTTTTTTTTTTTGAGTTGGAGTCTCACTCTGTCGCCCAGACTGGAGTGCAGTGGCACGCTCCCGGCCACTGCAGCCTCACTCTGCTGGGCTCTGGCGATCCTTCCGCCTCAGCCTTCCAAGTAGCTGGAACTACAAGTGTGCATTACCATACCTAGCTAATTTTTGATTTATTGTAGAGACGAGGTCTCACCAAGTTGCCCAGGTGCGTCTTGAACCCGCGGGCTCAGCCAATCCACTCGTCTCGGCCTCCCAAAATGCTGGCATTACAGGCGGAGCCACCGTGCCTATTTCTTATCAATATTTTTTGGTACTTTCAAACTACAGATTTGAAAGTCATGGGAGGATAGCATTCCTGAATTAAATCTTTAAATATTTGTCCTGTTCCATCATTTTGGGTTTCTTCTTCAAGGGTTATAGTTGTGCTTACATGGGATCTCCTTGTCTACCTGCTGTAACTTTCTCTATTTAAAAAAAAAAAGAACCTCTGTATTGTCATTTCATTTGTTTGCTTCAGACCTCTATTTCCTTTGTTGTGTTTTCAACAGTGTCTTTTTGCCTTTGTGCTACTTCAAATTTTGTCTTCATTTCCGTAGTGCCTTCCATTTCTTCTTCTTCTTCTTTTTATTTTTTTGAGACAGGGTCTTGCTCTGTCTCCCAGAATTGAGTGCAGTGGCCTGAACATAGCTCACTGCAGCCTTGAACTCCTGATCTGAAGTGATCCTCCCATCCCATCTTCCCAAGTAGCTAGGACTTTAGGCATTTGCCACCAGACGTGACTAATTTTTAAAATCTTTTTGTAAAGAGGGGAGTCTTACTATGTTGCCCAGGCTGGTCTTGAACTCGTGGGCTCAAGCAATCTTCCCACCTCAGCCTCCCAAAGCACTGGGGTTACAGATGTGAGCCACCTTGTTGGACTTATTTTGTCTTTTAACTTCTTCCTTAAGCGCTGCCACTTTCAGGGTTCCTCTCTAGTTGTCTTTTACTTCTTAGTCTGAGCTCTTATACTCTACTTTGTGCTTGACATGTTGTTTTTGAGTCAGAGTCTCACTCTGTCACCCAGGCTGGAGTACAGTGGCATGATCAAGGGTCACTGCAACCTCAACCTTCTAGGCTCAGGTGTTTCTTCCACCTCAGCCTCCTTAGTAGCTGGGATTGAAAGTGCACAATACTACACCTGGCTAATTATTTATTTATTGTAGAGACATGGTCTTACTGTGTTGCCCAGGCTGGTCTCAAACGTCTAGCTTCAAGCAATCCTCCTACCCTGACCTCCCAAAGTGTTAGGATTACAGGTGTGAGCACGTCCACCCTGTTGTTATAAAACTAGTGGTAAGCTATTATTTCAATATTCATAAACTTCATGACAACTTTTTAAAATGTGTTCTTTATCTGTCATTTATTTTTCCTATTCCTTTCTTTATTTTTTTCTTGTAATGGCTTTCTGTTGCTCCTGTGCTACTTTGCTTTTGCTTACTCATCTTTTGATGAATTGAGACTTTCCTGGGCCAGCTCTTTGCAGGGCGTTGATGCAAGAGGAGAGCTAATTTGGTCTATGTCTTCCAGCTCTTTTCCCCAGGTGAGAGGTAGCTATGGTAAAGTCTGATCTTTCCCCTTGCCATTTGCTTCCTGCAGATATGGCTTGTCTATGGGGTTACTCATTCAACCTCTCTTCCTCTGCTTTTTAGACCCCCAACGAAGCACCAGCTGTCATCTTGCATGCTCCAATCCTAGTGTTCCAAACAGGGGATTCTGAGTTTGCACCTTCAAGTATGTTTTACCTTACAGAAGTGGACTTTTCTGGCTCTTTCTGAGATCTACACCCTCAGTCATCCTCTTGCCACTTCTTCCTGTACCTCCTGCTTGATTTTTCACTGCTTTTACCACTTTTTACACCAACCTTGTGTTGAGGTTTCAACTGTCTCCTATTTTTATCCAAGCCAGAGTTTGTTTCTGTTGCCCATTCTCTTTGTCTCTTTGGAGTGATTTCTAAAATAAAAAGGGGAAATATGCTGAATCTGAACCCCAGTACTCTTTCTACCCTCGTTGTATATATGTAATCTTTCTGTTGAAAATCATATGGAGGGTTTTTGTTTGTAATACTGGGGAAACATCTTTCTTGATGTTATGGGACTAGGGGTTGATTATACTCTTCCTTCAGTCCTTTCCTGCCCCAGAACTTTTTGTATGATTTTTATGATTGGGGTGGAAAGTGTAAGGATATTCCTTTAACTCCAAGAGCCACCGATTAACCTCCTCTTCGCTCTGTCCGATGCCTTGAATAGGGGCTTTGCAGGGTTAGGGCTGGGGTTGACAAAGAGATGAGAGGCTGGTATAGATAGTGTGACTGTCAGGGAAATCTTGGAGTGGAGTTGGGCTGTAGAGTCAAGATAATTTAAGAGTGGGGGTAAGTCCAAGAGGAATAGGATAATGCAGCCGGGCAGGGGAGGTGGTCTGAAGAGGTGACATTGAGTTGAGACATAAAAGATAAGATTTTTCTGGTTGCTAACTTTTAAAAAATATAATTTCCATGTACTATAAATGAGGTCTAGATGTAAAGTTAGATTTTAAAAATTAATGCATTTGAATCAGTGCTACAGGAAGCTTTTTTCTTGGATTAAACAGAAATGGTAAAGGCAAAACCAGTGATTAGATCAGAATATGTTTAAGCATGTTCATACTGTAACATATATTTTGAGTCTGAGCTTTATTTTTATGTTTAGTTTATATTAAAAGCTAATTAAGCTGATTGTTTAGTCTTAAGAAATTATACTGAATTTTTTTCTTGTTTAACTTAATAAAATACAACATTGAAAAAATTTGTTTCAGATTTTTATGGTAAAATATAAAACTAAGATCTTTTGTCTCTGTGTTCTCCCAGGCCCTTCGTGAGAGGGCTCTTGCCCATCTCCAGCCTCGTCTGTCCATTCGCCCCTGCTCACTGCGCTGTAGTCACACTGCCTCCTTTATGTTCTGCCGACCTTTCATGTGTGCCTTTCAGAGCTCTGCGCTTGCTTCCTCTCTCTGAAATGTTCTCCTGGGCTCTTTGCATTGCTGATGATTCTTTTTTTTTTTGAGTTGGAGTCTCACTCTGTCGCCCAGACTGGAGTGCAGTGGCCGCTCTCGGCCACCGCAGCCTCTACCTGCTGGGCTCCGGCGATCCTTCCGCCTCAGCCTTCCAAGTAGCTGGAATTACAGGCCTGGCTGATTTTTTGATTTATTGTAGAGATGAGGTCTCGCTGCCCAGGCGGGTCTCGAACCTGCGGGCTCAGGCAATCCACTCACTTCAGCCTCCCGAAGGCGCGGGATTACAGGTTGAGCCACTGAGCCCGGCTGCTGATGATTCTTACTGTTTAGTTTTCAACTCACCTTTTCAAAGAGCTTCCCTTTCTGGGCTGCTCTATTATATTTAAATCCCTTTTATTTCCTTCATAGAACTTACCAAAATCTAAAGTGATCTCTTTTATTTACTTATTTGAAAGTAGAAAACTGTAAACCTCCTGAAGGTTGACACCTTTTTGATCTTGTTTACTACTTGTCTGTAGTACTTAAAATATGATTTCTAGCACTGGTTCAATACATATGAATGCATGAATGAATAACAAAACTTAACTGACTAATTCCATGCTTCTTGATTTGTTTGTACAGTAGATCTTCCTCTAATTGACAGCCTCATTCGGGTCTTGCAAAATATGGAACAGTGTCAGAAGAAACCAGGGAACTCAGCAGAGTCTAACACAGAAGAAACTAAAAAGTCTGATTTAACCCAAGATGATTTCCACTTGAAAATCTTAAAGGATATTTTATGTGAATTTCTTTCTAATATTTTTCAGGCTTTAACAAAGGTAGGAAAGACGTATTGATGGTTTCTTCAGCAAAAGAAAGTATAGATTGTATAACGCTCTAAACTTTATTATTACTGTTACTATTTTTTAATGTAAAAGTAGTATAGCTATATTACATAATTTGGAAAAATACAGAAAATCTTACATCACTATAAGTTTGTCATCTTAAACCACCAGTTGATGTGTTTTGGTATATTTATATATGCCATATAGATGTATATGTTTATGTGCAGATTGACTTATACTGCATATACTGATTTACATTTATTTACCAATTTGAGCTTTAGAAATGTTCCTTTTTTGACGTGAAATCTTTGTTGTTGTTTTAGGATACCGTGGCTCAGGGACTGAAGGAGGGCCAACTGAGCAAGCGGAAGTGTTCCTCTGCATTTCAAAATCTTCTTCCTTTCTACACCCCTGTGGTGAGTATGAGTAAATGTCTAGGTGGCTGAGTTTCATGGGATTACTAAATAAAATGTTTTCAGTAAGTAATTATTTTGAGGCCATTGTCAAAAGAGATAGTATATAGAGTTTATATGACTGAATGCCTTTGTCAGAAAGATGACTGATAATTGATAGTACTGGCATGAGTAACAATTCTAAGAGGAAAGAATCAGTGGTAGATTTATAGTGCTTCTTTCTGTTCCTAAGTGGATTGCGTATATATTAAGTGAAAGTAAGATTCTTAGACGGGAATAGTCAGTAGGTTTTTATGGTTCTTCAGATGATATCACGTTTGCCACCATTAGAGGCAAATTTCAAAAAATTTCAAAACAGGAGCTTTTTAAGGAAAATGAAGTATGGAATGTGGGAATGAGGGGACATATCCCCGAGGAGAGTGATAATAAGACTCCAGTGGTGAGCCCTCAAGGGCCAGCAGCGCAGGATAAGTACTAGTGCAAGAGTAAAACAAAATGGCAAAGGAGAGTAGTTTCCTTGATGTGTTTCAGAGCACTCTTTAAGGAAGTACTACTCCTGTCATCTGGGGATCTATCAGCATTTCTTTTCCATTGGACCATTTACAAACCACAGAGTGTTTTTTTAATCAGCAATCTATATCTTTTTTTTGTTAGTTCATGTCTTTTATTAACTCATACACAATTACCTCTCTTCTGGTCGAGGTTCTTGTCTCATGCCCAGGAAGAATGAGGGACACAGCTGGCTGGAAAGTGAGAAAGCAGGATTTATTGAGAGGACAGAGAAGCTCCCACAGTGGGAGGGGACCCGAAGGGGTTGCCCCAGCAATCTATATCTTTTTTTTTTTTGAGTTGGAGTCTCATTCTGTTGTCCAGACTGGAGTGCAGTGACCGCTTCCGGCCACCGCAGCCTCCACCCTTTGGCCTCCAGCTGATCCTTCCGCCTCAGCCTTCCAAGTAGCTGGAACTATAGGCGCCCGCTACCATGCCCGGCTAATTTTTTTGATTTATTGTAGAGATGAGGTCTCGCCAAGTTGCCCAGGTGGGTCTCGACCCCGCGGGCTCCGGCAGTCCACTCACCTCAGCCTCCCAAAGTGCTGGGATTACAGGCTGAGCCACTGAACCCGGCTGCAATCTATATCTTAAACCACCTTTACTCCACTATGTTTATTTGATTCTTTTGTTTGACTCACAGGTGGAAGACTTTATTAAAATTCTACATGAAGTTGATAAGGGCCTTGCTGATGACCTGAAAGAAAGCTTCCCAAGTTTGAAGGTTCAGACTTAAAAACTATTTTGGAATTTCTTCTGTACAAGAAATAAACTTTATTTTTCTCACTGACAGTTGAAATGGACTTACACAGCATATTAGATAAAGCCTATATTAGACCATAATTGTCTGGTGGTATACTCATACCCTTTTCTCTGTTAGGCTTATCTTACTTTTATTTGCCTTTGGAATCTGGAGTTTTACCATTATCACTACCCTTTTTAAATTATATGGTATTTATCATCTTCAGATGAAGAAAGCAAAAATAAAAGCTTATCACTGAGGTTCTTTTTAGGATATTTGAGGGGTTGGTGAGGATTTTCTTCATAATTCTTCATTTGATTTTTATGTGAGAATTTTGTCTTTATATCCACTACAAGTATATTCAGCTGCAACAGCAAAACCCTCATGCAGTAGCTTAGCCTGATAGCTTTTATGTATCTACTGCAGTAAGAAGTTGAGGACCGGGCTCAGTGGCTCAGCCTGTAATCCCAGCACTTTGGGAGGCTGAGGTGGGTGGATTTCCTGAGCCCACAGGTTCGAGACCAGCCTGGGCAACTTGTCAAGACCTCATCTCTACAATAAATCAAAAATTAACTGGGCACAGTAGCACATACCTATAGTTCTGGCTGCTTGGAAGGCTAGGCAGAAGTATTGCCGGAACCCAGCGGGTCAACGCTGGGGTGGCCATGAGTGTGCTACTGCACTCTAGCTTGGGTGGCAGGGTGAGGCTCCAACTCAAAAAATAATAATAAAAAAAAAAGTTGAGGACTGGACCGTCCAGACATGATAAAGTGACTCCTGTCATGTGATGTGTTATGTAGACCCAGGTGTTCGTGTTATTGTTTTGTGGTCAGGGGGGTGTGCCATCTCTGGGCCTTTTGTCCACATTCTGGGAGGGAAAAAAAATGAACCAAAGGGGCTTTTCCTAGCAAGTCTTCACTTTTTTATTTGGAAAGGACAGCCGTCTCTGGCTAGAGCCTTGCTTCCTGGCCATCTCTAGCTGCAAGTATTTGAAATCTAGTACTTATTTTTTTTTCTAGCCTTTATTGGAGGAAAAGGCAAGAGAAAAGGAAGAGATGAATGGCTTATGGATAGCCAGTCCACAGTGTTTGCCACAATGTGCAAATGTCTTTTAGCCATTTTGTGAGTAATTTGTGTTGATTCCTTGCCAGATTGTTAATAACAATGCAAAAATATTTAGTGTTATTAGTTTAGCTTTGCTACATTTCAGTTTTTTTTCTGTTTTATACATATGAAGGTAGAAATGATAACTTTTTGATAAAAGTACTTTACCAGAATTCTCTATTTTCAGCGTAATATCTGGTTGAATTTCAGAAAGTGATTTGCTTGAGTGAATTCAGATTTTTAAAAATTAAGATTGAGAGAGTTTAAGAACTTCTCACAGACTGTGCTATATGTGATTTTCCTCCTGTCCTTTATCACTCTTTATAGTACTTAATGAAATATATTCAGGTAATCAATCAGGTACACTTAAAGAAGCATTCAATTTGTGTTATTTCAGGTATTAAAAGTGGAATTTTTAATAAATTTTAAGAATATATCAATTATGAATAACAAGGCCAGGTTTTTAAACTTCTCTTTTGGTACAGACCCCTTCCCAGTTTATTTCAGAGTCTTTTTGGCTTTAAAGCATTGGTCTTGCTTCATACTTTGTGTTCTTTTCTTGAGGGAGTTTTACTGGTAAAACACAAGATAACCTTACTGATAAGGAATGATACAGTTTCTGTTTAGAGGTAGTGTTATAGTTGAAAGTGTCACTGCTGAAAAGAATTGAACTATCAGAATAAAATCTTACAGGTGAAACTTTAATTGGTAGGTTTGTATCTGCTATATTATATACTGTATGTTTACATGTCCTTAGTGCTGACCTTATTGGTAGACTTAATATGACTATACTTCCCAAGAGATTTTAAAGCACTGATGAAATCACTTCTATTTGCTGGCTGATACTAAAACTCCACTCTTATTTTTTTAAGTTTAAGGTTAAGATGCAAATACCCTATAAAAATAACAGCCTGAGCAGAGTGGCTCACACCTGTAATTCCAACACGTTGGGAGGCCAAGGCAGGAGAATCACTTAAGGCCAGCAGTTCAAGACCAGTCTGGGAAGCATAGGGAGATTATCTCCATAAAAAATTTTAAAAATTAGCTGGGCATGGTGGCACATACAACTCTAGTCCCAGCTACTAAGGAGACCGAGCAGGATTGCTTGAACCCAGGAGTTTGCAGTTACGGTGAACTATGATCATGCCACTGCACTCCAGACTGGGTAGCAGAGCAAGACCCTATCTAAAATAATAATAATAAACCTCAAGTTATTGGTTATGTTTGCTTCAGTACATGTGAATTTCACATTTTTTCTCCCTGAGAGCATGTTTTAAAAGGACCTTGGGTTCTGAAGGTATGCTACCCTGAGGTCAGTTACAGAGGGATGCATTATGGAAAGGCTAGGAATGGCCAAGTTATTTTCTGCTTCACATTTCTGCTTTGGGCCTGCACTATTTGCTTGGTTACTTCTTGCTATTATTATATGGTGGTATATGTTTTCATAGTACTTTGATGTGTTTGGAACTTCCTAAATCTATAACACAATAATAAACAGCCTTTAAAAAAGTGACTAGTATTAAAACTTTGTAATGCTGCATTATCTGAAGAATTCACTCACAAAATGTAGTGCTTAATCAGTTGCAGTTATATTTTGAAATACTGCTTTCTCCAGAAGCATAAGTATGAAATTCGAAATTATTTATACAAATGAAATTGAAATTCATTCTTTCTCTATGCTTTTTTGCAGGGAAGAGGAAAAATTATAAGCGAAATGTGTTAGCATTTGTTATATATCATTCTATTTCCAATTAAATTTGAGTTTGAGATCTGAAGTATCTAAGCCACTTAGAAAGAAAACATGTTCTCTTTCAAAATTTTTTTTTTTAAGATTTGTCTTTGAATTAGTTAGTGAATAACTTTGGCATGTAAGTAGGAAAAAGTTTCAGAGCCACCTCTCAGCCTGGTTTTGTTTTTGTTTTTAATGAAGCATATGCAGAAACCAGCTATAGGCTTAAGAAACAACCTCTGTCTGGGGTTCAGAAAATCTTAAGTGCATGAGACACTGAACACCATTTTTTATTCTTCAGGCCTGGGCAGTAGTGATGCTGTGTCTCAACATCACTACTAGTTGTAAATTTTAATAAGCTGAAGAAAAAGAATACTGGAGTTACATATTTTCTTTCCTGTTTTAATTAATATTCTTTACAACCTAATCAGTAGCCTTTTTTTTTTAAAAAAAAGAAATAGTTTCGTATTAATTTAGGATTAAATTATTTATCCTACTTGAGCATGTTTTCTTTTTTACCACTTTGCAACTTCAGCTTTCTCTGTGTTCCTGGTAGAAGTTTTAAAAACAAAGTCGGTAAGCACCACCCTCTTTAATTAGTCATATGATATTTTTTTCTTTTCTTTCTTTTTTTTTTTGAGATGGCATCTTGCTATGTTGTTGCTCAGGTTAGCCTCAAACTCCTGAACTCAAGCAGTCCTCCTGCCTCAGCCTACTGAGTAGACTTTCTCTTTTTGTTGCTGGTTTGAGTTCCTATCCAAGGACCATTAGTAAAGTTCAGGTACTTAGAATAGTATGATGCCTTGGATTTACTTCAATGTATTTGGAGTTAGGGAAGGGAAATGGATTAAGGGAGAAGCTGAAACGAGATTGGCCTGAGCTAGAGTTGTGAAGGGGAGGTGAGGGGATTCTGTGGGGATCTAGTACAGTGTTCCCTCTGTTTTTGTATATGTTTGAGATTTCCTATTAAAGATTTTAAAAAAGTAAATAAATCACACATGATTTGAGCCTGAATTTAATTATGAATGATTCTTATTCCTTTGACATCATTGAGCTAGTCACACCTACAAGAGTCTGAGCTAGTGTGGTCCTGAGGGCCAGTTCAGACCTAATGCAGCAACCAAAGGAAACCAGGTGTGACTGGAAGCAGGAGGGCATTGTGTGGGTGCTGCTGGCCTTCCACTCATTCCTGTGTATGTGTTCATCAATCTGACTACTTTGCGGTTCTGTAAAGATTGCAGAGTCTTCTGCATTACTAAACGTTTATGGTTATCTTAGATAATTTGCAAAAGGTCAAATTTGCTTACATCCAATTTTGCACAACCCAGGGATCATTTGAAATGTAAAAGCTAGAGAGTGTCTGTGAGTTTCTAGTTGGCTTTCAAAGCCAAATATTTTGTAATATTAGGCTACTCCTCATTCCATGGTTATTGTGCTTTCTTAGCGACTGTATTTTCCCTGGAAGTTTGTAAGATTATATAGTTTAGTAGCATCATGGAATAGGCAATTCTCATTTTACCCTTCTTATCTATGTGTCAGGATCCTGGCAAGGGACATGATTCTGGAAAAGGGCCATGCCACACTGAAACCAGGCCTGGAGGGGAGAGGGTCTGTACACAAGAAGATGGCATCAAGAGTTACAGATGGGGTGTGCTTTGAGTCCCCATGTCATCTGGCTTTCTTATTTCAGAGTTTCTTTGTTGGGGCTTCAGGTTGTATATGGGCCCTCAAGATCACACCTGCCTTGCCTTTCTCTTGAGTTTGTGTTCTCCCGATTTAATCACTTCATTCTCTTGGTATTTCTTAGTTTAAATTTATGAGAGCAGAATCTTGCCTAGTTGCTAGTTAGTCTTTATTTATATCAGGCAATTGTGGGTCACTGGCCACCTGTGGTTTGGCTACTTTGGGTTAAGTGTGCATCCCAAGACAATTAACTAAATACCACGTGATACAGAATTTGCTTAAGGGCACTGTAAGGTGTGGTAGATACCAGAGTCACAACTTCCTGGTAGAAGTGGCCACCATTTTTGAGCGTTTACTATGTACCAGGCACTGAAAAGGTCTATACATATATTATCTTATTTAATTTTGCAATAATCCCATAAGGTAATCGTTACCATTTTACAGATGGGAAAATGAAGATTCAGAGTAGTTAAATAACTTACCCAAAGTTACATAGGTAGTAAGTAGCTGACTCAGGGTTTTAATCCAGACGTG